CCCAAATTAGTGCACGTGTGTCTCTTCTGCAGCTCCGACTTCACGTGGGCAAGAGCCTCAGTGTCAGCAGTAGCAAAGACCAAGTCGTCGACGTAGACGAGGATGTGGAACGGCGGCAGCAAAGTGTCCATGCGCAAAAACAGCGACGAGTCAGCAGTAGAAGGCGCGAACCCAAGAGCCGCAAGTGTAGTCCTAAGTGTGTGGTGCCACTCACGTGGCGCCTGGCGGAAACCGTAGACTGGCCACCGGAGGCTCCACTGGGTATCACGAGGGAACGACCCAGTGAAGCTAGGAGGGCGGCGCAACCAGATCTCCTCGTGCTGGGTGCCTTGCAAGAAAGCTGTGCTGAAGTCAAGAGAGTGAAGCTCGTAGTCACGTTGAGCGGCAAGGTGCAGTTGTATACAAAGAATGGTCATCTTCGGGGTGGGGGAGAAGGTATGGAAGAAGTCAACTCCCTCAAGTGACTGAAGCCTGGAGCAACGTAACGAGTGTTGAAGACAGGCGGAGAACCTGGCGGCCGCTTCACCATGAAAATCCTCTTGCCACTGACGATGTTCGCCCCAGGAGGGAGAACCTCGTCGACGTAAGTGCCTGTGGACTTCTAGGATGCCATCTATGCGTCCATGGCTGACTGCCACTGAGAGGAGTACTCACCGGCGATTGCCTCTGCGTAAGAGCGCGGGGTCGGGATGTCTGGTGCATTCGGGTCTCCCTCAGGTGCAATCAGCATGGACACGAGATGAGGTCCAGCAGTGACAAAGCACTCAAACTCTTCCTGCCTGTCCTCAAGGACGTCCATGCCAAGAGCACACTCTCCCCCAACGGACGGAGTATAGTCAGACTCAGACTCAGCAACAAGACTCGCAGCGTAGTCTAGAGGACAGTGAGCAGCAAAGTCGACAAGCTCTGCAACTAAGGCAGACGTAGCAGCTGACTCAAAGGAAGGGTCAGTGACAGCAGTGGCCAGGAGACGCGTGATTGTAGGACTAGCAGTACGAAGAGAGTCAGACTCCGGGTCAGCAAGGGCAGGAAGAAAGGACGGAGGAGGAGAAGGCAGAGAGACACGCTACAGAGCAGTGGAAAGACGAAGCGTTATCTGGTGAGTGCGTGGGATAGCAGGAGGATGCTGACGCGGGACACGAGGACCAGTGCGAGCAGCACAAGCAGGCGACGCAGAACGAGACTCAGGCAACACAGGACGAGATTCAGGCTCACGACGCTCCGTAAGACCTCCTGTCGGACCAGTGTAGGGAGAAGGACTAGGAAGTGGCGAGGCAGGCTGTAACTGTGCCTGCGACTGGACAGGCGGATGACATTCTAAGGAGGGAGCAGGACAAGGAGGAGGAGGCTGACCAAGAACCCGCTGAAGGAGCGGAACGAAGTACGGTCGCGGTCGTGAAGCGCCCGCAGAACCAGCAGAGAAAGCACCAGAACCCCCAGCAGTAGCTCCAACTCCCGGAGCACCACCAGCAGCTCCTGTAGTGCCAACTCCAGGACCCCCAGTAGTACCCGCTCCAGCCGCACCATCGGCTCCAGCACCTGCAGGAGGACGAGCGTCAGCACCTCCAGCTCGAGCCCCTGCAGCACCAACCCCAGGGTCAGCAGCTACACCAACTCCTGTAGGCCCAGCCACCTCAGCTCCACCGGCAGCCCCAGCTGCTCCAGCACCTTCAGCTCCAACTCCAGCACCAGCAGCACCTCCAGCAGCTCCAGCACCAGTAGTACCTCCAGGAGCACCAGCTTCAGCAGCTTCAGCTCCAGCTCCAGCAGAACCCCTAGTCCCAGCAGCTCCTGTACCACCTATACGAGCACCTCTAGGACCAGAGGCTCTAGTACCTCCAGCAGCACCAGAGCCTCCAGCGGGCAGCACCCCTGTGCCAATAGCGCCGCACTGTAGGCTGCAGCGTCGAGCGTACCACTCACGCTGCCGCTGTGGGGAGGGAGGCTCCGGCCACGACATAGCACCCGCAGCACCACCAGCAGTCCCACGCTAGAGGCTGCAACGCTGAGAGTACCACTCACGCAGCTGCTGTAAAGAGGGAGTGCCACCAGGCGAAACACGCTCAGTCGCAGCTCCCCCAGGCTCAGCACGGCCAGTCTCAGCATCCCCAGGCTCAACACCCCCAGTCTCAGCACCCCCAGGCTCAGCACCCCAAGTCTTAGCACCCCCAAGCTCAGCACCCCCAGTCTCAGCACCCCCAGACGCAGTACCTTGCGCAGAACCAGAGTCGACAGCTACCTCGACAGGCTCGACCGGGTCTACCAGGGAAACACGTGAGGGAGCAGGACCCTTGGGAGGTAGGGGGTCTACAAAAGCAGCACCTGGCGTGAGGAAGAGCGGCCGAGGGGGGAGCGGGGCAGTGCGGTAGGGGAAGAGACGGTAAAAGGGGACTGACTCATCTAACGTGACATCCTGAGAGGGCAGGACACGGCGCGAGGTGGGGTGGTAAAACTGCCAGCCAGGCGCGCCATGGACAAAGCCAAGGAAGACACAGGGAACGGCACGGGAGGAGAGCTTGTCCGCGGACGTATCGCGGACAAAGGCTCAACATCCCCAGACCTGGAACACCGACGCATCGCCAACCTTCCCCGTCCAACGCAGTGTGGGCGAGGTCTCCGGAGCAGAGATTCGGGGCCAGAGGTTGAGCTGATGTGCAACGTACTGCACTGCAAATGGCACAGGAAATGGGGGGCAGCCCCATGGATCATGGAGGTACGAGCGACCTCCATGACTAGCCAATGCGTCGCTCAGCAACCCCATTCTGCTGTGGAGAGGCCAAAAATGTGAACGTCTGGCGGATGCCGTACTCCACACAGTAGGCTGCGAAGAGGTCGGAGGAAAACTCACCACCCCTGTCAGAGTGCAGACGCAGGACGGGAAAGTCCAACTGGAACTGCTCGCGGAGCTGGAGACGAGCACCGCGGATCCAGGGGATCAAAATATCAGGGACCTCACCCTTGGTGCGCAAGGGGAAGACCGTGGTGTAGTGCGTGCACTTGTCGACGACCAGCAGGAAGTACCGCCCATGGCCCTGTCCACGCACGCGGGCTAGGCCCCACATGTCCAGGTGGAGAGTCTGCAGGGGAGCCTCTGTGGGAAGGAACGAGGAGGAGTGAGGAGTAGCACCCTGCCGCCCCTCAAGACAGTAAGACAGGGAGGAGCAGGCGAGGGTGGGAGGGGAGGGAGAACCCTGGGAAGACCACAGACAAGGTACCGGGAGTGCATGCCACGAAGGCGCTTCACTGAGGGGTGACCAAGGCGGTGGTGCCAGAGAAAGGTCTGGTGCGAGAGGGTGCGACACGAGCAGGGGGCCGCTAGCTGACCTGACGTAGAGGCAGACGCAGCTACCTGAGGGGACTCAATGGTCAGTGTGTACAAGTCCGACCCTGGCTGCCGAGTCAAGGTAGCCAGATGATGACCCGTCTGGGCACACGTGTAGTGTGTCACACGCTCGTAGGCAGGGGTGAACTGGGGAACACCCGCGTCCTGGAGCGCAGAACTCGGCACCAAGTTCATAGAGAACAAGGGGAGGTAAAGGCCCGACAGTGTGCGGAACGGTATTGCAGGACAAGGGAGGGCAGTGGTGGAGGTCGTAAGGACCGGACCCTCAGAGGGGTTAGCCAGGGAGACAGCAATTGGTCTAGGGAGCTGCTCTAGGGCAGTGCGGTCGCGAAAGAAACAGCAAGAAGCACCTGAGTCCACTGTGAAGGTGTGCAGTGCCTCAGTAGACGGAGTACCTGAAGGCACAGACTCACAAGCACCTGAAGCAGCAGACTCACGAGCGCCTAGAGTAGCAGACTCCCGAGAGCGCATATTGGAAGTGTGCTAAGATGTGTGGCATGGCATTGCACTAGTGAGGGAAGCAGTGTCATGAATGCATGTGTGATTGTGTGCATGAGACTATGCATGTGTGTGAGTGTGTGTGCATGCAGTCCGTTAGCCTGAGGGGGAGTTTGTTGGATGCACGTCAGTCTGAGTGCATGTCATCCTAACGTCCTGCCGAATGCTCGTGCTGTTTTGTGGTAGCATGATTTGCATGAGCGTATGTCATTGTGCATGGCTGTTGGATATTATCATCTCTGTGTTTTTTTCTCCAAGTCTAAATGCTTGATCATGCAGGAGAAATCCAGAGCTTTCCAACGACACCAAGATCGCCTTATTCCGACCAAGATCGCCCAAGTTACAAATTTTCCAGGATTTGGATTTCTTATTACCTTTTGGGTTTATATGTTATTTGGGTGATTACTTGGGACATGACTATGAAGGGATCTTTGGTTGGGTGGTTAGGAAGGCAACTTTGACTTTTGGTTGGGGTGGCTAGAAGTTTCTAGCATGGGTTGCAAATGTTGCATCACCTAGGCAAAATCCAACTAGATTGGATTTTGCATGTGACACCTCAAGGACCTCATGATGAGGGTTGCATCCTTGCTGCTGGGAAGGTTCCTACCATCCTTCCCTAGCTCTTGGAGAACCCCTTCTCTCTCATGGTTCTCTTGGAGTCCCCAAATCCAACTTCCTATGCTCTAATGTTTGTACTTCCTCCACCATTCTAGTCATGCGGCTGCTGGACGTTCTTACTTGGTTCTCACTCTATAGACCATCTTAACAACTGATTCAACTTGGAGATGATAGCTAAGCCTAAGGCGCAACTTCCTACTGAACGGATTTGCGTTTAATTGAGTAATGAGCTCGTCGTAAGCTCTCAAAGTGACGGATCCTGAACAACAAGTGGTATTAGAGAGGGTAGTCGACTTTGAGACGACGAATCGTCATACATTTTCGACCAATCTTGTCAAGTGAGACCATTTTCTAGTATCTCTGCTTGGGAAGTCTCGATTGGTGGTGAAAACGCGTTCTAATTCGAATTATCGAGTCCGCGACGGCGATTTTCGTAGAATCGAAATTTCTGGCAGAATTCTCTCCAAACGATTTCTCAAGTTTCCACCGTTCATAAGGCCTCAATATGGTTGGTACGAACTCCGGAGGTGCTAGTGGCGAGATGGATAGAAATAGAGAGGCTGGAGAGCAGGGGGGAGTTGCTGGTGGAGGAGTGGGGACTCACCAACCAGCCAACCCTACGCTACCTACTTCTTCTACACCATCTCCTACTACCGTGGATCCTGTGAAAGCTTCCTCTATTGAGAAATTTATGGGGGAGGACTACGAGCGCTGGAGTTTCTGCATGAGGCTGATGTACACCCAATACAAGCTATTGGATTTGGTGGAGGGGAAGGAGAAGATGCCGGAGGCTGCGGAGCTGAAAGGAGCGTGGATGAAGCGATCGTTCGACGCGTACATGCTCATGGTGTAAGCGGTGGGCGGACGACAACTTGACCACATCAAGGACCTCTTGGGTGATCCAGAGTGTGACCCCAAGGCTTGGAGGAAGTTTTTGGATGTGCACTCACCGACACATGCTACCGGCATCGTGCTACTCGCGCGGTGGCTGCGCGACATCAAGTTCGTTGATCGAGAGCCGATGCAACCGGTGTTGGATGAGATATGGGACATATTTACAAAGCTCCAAGGTGGCAGTGTGGTGTACCTGGAGCTCGTGCAATGCGTGGAGATTGTGATACGGCTGCCAGAGTCGTGGTCTGCCCTTGCGATCAACCTCAACTCCCATAAACCCCAATGGAGCGTGGATTACATTCGCGCGCGCATTCTAGAGGAGGACTTGCGGCGGCGGAGTGTGGAGCGCTCGGAGGAGGGGGCTGGCTATGGAGTTGGAGGTGGAAAAAGTGGCTTCAAGAAGAAGTGGAAGGGCAAGAACAAGGACAACCCTAAGGAGGATGGCGGCGGGGGTCAAGGGGAGGTGTGCTTCTACTGCAAGAAGCGCGGACATTGTTGGCGGAAGTGCTACCAACGACCCAAGGATTGGACCCCGCCTTCATCAAGCAACCACTGTGGTGGCATGAGGAGTGGGGGAGTCATGGGAGCTAGTGGAGAGGAGAAGGATGAGGAGAAAGGCGGCAAATCTGAGGAGCGGAAGGCCGGGTTCTTCTTCTTCGTGAACGAAGGCACAACCGACCTCGCTATGGTTGCCAAGGTTCTCCTACACCCCCTTACCCATTGGGTGATTGACTCCGGGAGCTCTTGGCACATGACTCCTCGTGCGGACCTACTTGATGAGATTCAGCCCGCACCCATCTCTACAGTCACATCCGCGACGGGCGCCAAGGCCAAGGTCATGGGCATGGGGTGCACCAAGTTCATGGGAGCGGATGGAGAGCTCGTGGGGCTGAAGAACGTGCTGTGGGTGCCGGACTTGTGCGAGAACCTGATTTCTACCGGCCGATTGGGAGATGGGGGTGTGAACACCGAGACGATTGGCTCGGAGCGCTATCGTGCCTACAACGATGAGCGGCTGATTTGGGACCTGCAGTGGAAAGGGGATGTCCACAAGCGGATGTGGCAGATCCCGGTCCTCCCTTGGCGGAAATCGGGCAAGGCGGCAGCGGCGGCATCTATGGAGGAGAGCGTCACCGAGGAGGAGCAGCAAGGTGTGCAAGGAGAGGAGCTGATTGGAGGAAGCGCGGCGGTGAAGGCGTCGGCTACTTCGGGCCAAGCGGATTGGGAGACTTGGCATCGGCGGCTTGCACACGTGGCTGTTTCTACATTGGAGGTGATGCACAAGGAGAAGTGCGTGCATGGGCTGCAACTGCAAGGAGATGGCACTCACTATGACAGCTGCAAGGCGTGCATGCAAAACAAGTTTGCGCGGTTCCCGTTTCCACATGCTGAGGGATCAGCCAAGGCACCATTCGAGGTGGTGCACATGGACCTGGTGGGTCCTATGAGGATTGAGGGGACTGGGGGAGTGCTGTACGTCCTCACCATGGTGGACGAATGGAGCCGTTTCATGTGGGCACGCCCCTTGTCCAAGAAGAGCGATGCTGCAGTGGCAATCAAGGAGGATTGGTTGCCGATGGTGGAGCGTCAAGCAATGCGACTAGTGAAGTTGTGAGGAGGGACCGAGATGGAGAGTTCCTTGGAGCGGAATTCACCAAGTTCCTCAAGAGAAATGGCATCCGACATCATCTGACCTGCCGTGGAACACCGTAGCAGAACGGCATTGCTGAGCATGCCAACCGGACTATTGGCGAGACGGCTAAGACCTTGTTGGGGGCTGCTGGGATGCCCTACAAGTTCTGGCCTGATGCCGTTCGCCATGTCATCACGGTCAAGAATAGGGTCTTGACGCATGTTGGTGACAAGCATTGGGTGCCGTACGAGCGTTGGCTTGGGAAGAGGCCATCTATTGACATGCTGCATGTGCGGGGCTGCATGGGGCTTGTGATGGTGCCTAAGGAGTGGGGCACAAGCTGGAAGCTGCTGCTGTGTGGGCTGTCCATCTTGGGATGGCTCCTAACTCGAAGGGGTGGCTGATGTGGGACCCCAAGAGCAAGAAGTCGCTGGTCAGCCGTGACGTCAAGTTTGTGGAGGACGTCATGTACAAGGACTGGCAGCAGCAGCAGCAGCAGGTGCAGATTGGCTTGCGCCTGCAGGAGATTGAGCGGTCTGCAATGGAGGAGGTTCAGCTGCACCTTGAGGATCTCCCTGGGTCAGAGCTGACCAGTGACCACAGTGGCGGTGGTGAGCAGCAAGTTTCTGGTCCTGCTAGAGAGGAGGGGCTGGAGGATGAGTCAGCACGTGTGGACTCACCATCTCAGCCCGAGCCTGCTGCAAACGCCAAGGTCACCAAGAGGAGTGTGCAGAGAGGAGCTTCACCACATGGGCAGCAGACTGTAACCCGTGAGAAGAGAGTGGCAGCAGCACCCTCAAGGTTGAAGCATAGCCGTTTGGGAGGACCTAAGCAAGGTGCCATGGCGGTTCAGGCGGGGGCGGCTGCTCCAGGGGCCAGGCGCGGGGTAAGGCAGGGCGACGCGGCGGGGAGGGGCGACGTCGTGGGTAGGGGCGACGCGGCGGGCAGGGCGACGCGGCGGGCATAGGCGACGCGGCGGGCAGGGCGACGCGGCGGGCAGGGCGACGCGGCGGGCAGGGGGCGACGACGCGTCAGCAGCTGGGCGCGGCCGCGTCAGTAGCAGGGCGCGGCCGCGTCAGCAGAAGGGCGCGGCCGTGTCAGCAGTAGGGCGCGGCCGCGTCAGCTGCAGGGCAGGCGGGGCCGCGTCACTGCAGGGCGGGGCCGCGTCCACGTCGGCGGCAAGGCTGGGCCGCGACCGCGGCAGGGTGGGGCCGCGTCAGCGACAAGACGAGGCCGCGACTATGGCCAGACGGGGCTGCGACAGCGACCTGACGGGGTCGCGCGCTGGCCTGATGGGCCTGCAGAGGCTGCGTGCGGCCGGCGAGGGCCTGCAGGGGCGGCGCGCGGTCGGGCAGAGGCTGCACCCGGGCGGCGAGGGCGTGACGGGTCTGCAGAGGCGGCTCGGGGGCCTGACGGGCCTGTGGAGGCGGCTCGGGGGCCTTACTAGCTTGCAGGGGCAGCGCATTGGCCTAGGGCAGTAGGAGGCAGCGCGAGGGCTATAAGACGACGCGCAAGCAGAACAAAGGGTGGGGCACGCGAGGGCGTATGAGCAGAAGAAGGCGCACGAGGGCGCACGAGTAGAGAAAGGCGCACGAGGGGGTACGTAAGGTAGGGTGCACGAGGGTGCTTCTAGCGGAATAGTGGGTCCGTAGTAGTAAGCGGTCCTAGGTGGCAACCTAGGCTCTGATACTATGTTAGAATCAACGAGAGTGATTGAACTAGGAAAGAGTTGGGTACAAGTAAGAAACCCTAAACTTACTGTACCCCATAGTAACTAGCACACTACAGCCTAAACAAACTGCTGCAGATATGACATTTGACACCGCGCTGCGCTTCATGTCGAGTTCTGTGACAAGAACCCCCCCCCCCCCCCATATACATCACTCTCTATAACCTCGTCATCCGGCTCCCTGACTCCCTTCGCTCGGTCAGGGACCTCTTCCTCTCCCTTTGCCCCACCACGTGCACCATTGACCTCCTCGAGGAGCGCCTCCTTGCAGCTCAGAAGAGTATAGTTGCCGTAGGAGCCTCTCGTGGTGACCCTCATGCCCCTTTTTTTGAGGGGTGCTCCCCCGTTCCCCTTTTGCCTTCTGTTGCCTCTACTGCTGCTGTCGACCTTGTTGGCACCGAGTTGGTTGGCACTGCGTCTGCTCCTAGTGGGAGGCGCCGCAGCGGCAGGAGCAAGGGGGGCAAGGGTGCTGGAGGAGACGGCGGGGGCGGCGGTGGTGGCGGTGGAGGCGGAGGAGGGGGTGGGGGAAGAGGTGGGGGTGGTGGTGGGAGTGGGGGCTTTGGTGGCGGTGGTGGAGGTGGAGGCGGTGGCGGCAGCGGTACTGGGGGTGGCGGAGGCGGCAGCGGCGGTGGGGGTGGTGGCGGCAGTGGTGCTGGTTAGAGTGGCGCTGTGCAGCGGGGAGGCCTTGGTGGTGGCAAGCACCAGCAGCAGCAGCATTCTCGTGAGACCCTGTCGCCCCAGCAGCTTCGTGAATGGTACGCTAGGCGTGAGAGGTCTTGGGGTGCTGGTCCTTGAGCTTACGTTCTCCGCACCGGCGAGCGCAGTGGGGAGACATGCGGAGGGCCGCACGCCACGCAGCGCTGTTTTGGCCGCCTGACTAACGCATGGCATGCACAGTTTCCTGACGCCACGGAGCTCCCTCGCTAAGGTGATCTGCTTAGGTTGGGGGTGGCTATCTTTGATCTTGACTATGATGCTATCCTTGCTGCTATGTATGCTGTGACTATTAGTGCTGAGGGTGACTGTTACCTGTGTGTTCCGCCCAACCCGGGCATTGAGGCTGCTATTCTAGGTGGTAGTTAGTCTGCTGCTCCTGGTGCTGGTGAGTATGCTCTCTCAGGTACCGCATCGGCTCAGGTCTTGCACACTTTAACCCTTGACTAGGGTGCTTCCCACTCCTTTCGTGACTACACCACACTCTCGCCGCTCAGCCAGCCAGTGGCAGTCTCTCTGGCTGACACCTCTGGGGGTCCGGTCCTTGCACACTCCTCCACGATTCCGCCATGTCCGGCGGTCCCATCTGGCTCTTTGTCTGGCCTCGACCTCCCCTCGTTCTCCACGAACTTGGTGAGTGGAGCTGACCTTCAGGACGCATGGGTTGACCAGTTCACTCTTAGAGGTCAGCGCGTGACCCACTGTTCGTGCATTCGGACGGGCCGGCACCTGGCCACGTTCACTCGTCAGCCTAGGTCGAGCCTATACACCCTGACTACCGTGTCTCCTCCGGTTGCTGAGTCTGGTCAGGTAGTCGCGTTGGGTCAGGTGTTTGCTGCCGCGTCCCGGTCTGGCCCTGAGTCTGCCCCCTACTGGTGTCGCCTCGTGTCTCACCAGAATCTCCTCAGGCACCACCGCCTTGGTCACCCCTCCCTGCCTTGTCTCCGAGGCATGGCCTCCCGTGTCCTTGTCACTGGTCTTCCCCAGTCTCTCCCTCCCCTTCCCCCGAGGTCTGCCCCTACCCGCGTTTCTTGCGTCGAGGGGCGGCAGCGCGCCGCTCCTCACTCCTCTGAGTTCCCTCTGACGGAGGCTTCCCTGCAGACTCTTCACATGGACGTGTGTGGGGCCCAGCCCGCGTCCGTGGACAGGGTCACGAGGGCTACTTTCTGCTGGTCGTTGACGACTACTCGCGTTACACCACAGTCTTCCCCTTGCGCCGCAAGGGTGAGGTCACTAAGGTGCTGATCGATTGGATCCGCGCTGCCCGTCGTCAGCTCAGGAAGAGTTTTGGCTCGGACCTTTCTGTTCTGCGTCTGCACTCCAACAGAGGTGGAGAGTTTTCCTCTGACCTTCTCCGAGCCTTCTGTCGTGCACAGGGCATCTGCCAGACGTTCTCGCTTTCGGCCTCTCCACAGCAAAATGGGATTGCTGAGCACCGCATTGGCATGGTCATGGACGTCGCTCGTATGTCCATGATCCATGCGGCTGCTCCCCATTTTCTGTGGCCGTTCGCAGTTCAGTACGCGGCGCATCAGATCAACCTCCAGCCCCGGGTCTCTATGCTGGAGACTATACCTACTCTGCGGTGGATAGGGAAGGTTGGCGATGCGTCTGCGTTCCATGTTTGGGGATCTCGAGCTTTCGTCCGCGACTTGTCTACGGAGAAGCTCTCCTTCCATGCTATCCCCTGCGTCTTCCTTGGCTTCCCCCCTGACGCGCCTGGTTGGCAGTTTAACCACCCCACCTCGCGTCGTGTTCTGTCCTCTCAAGACATCACGTTTGACGAGTCGGTTCCTACTACCGTCTCTTCCCCTACCTCAATGCCCCCCTCCCCCTCCTGCCGCTCTTCCTCGCGCGAGTTCCTCCCCCAGTAGACCCCCTCCCCCCTCAGGGTCCTGCCCCCTCAGGTGTATTCTAGGTAGACACAGTCGAGCCTGTTGAGGTAGCTGTTGACTTTGGTGTTGCTAGGAGTGCTGAGCCTGAGGGTGCTGGGTTTGGGGGTGCTGAGCCTGAGCGTGCGGAGCCTGGGGGTGTTGCATCTAGGCGAGCTGAGCTTGGGGGTGCTGAGCCTGGGGTTGCTGAGTCTGGGATTGCGGAGCCCGCGGGTGCTGAGCCTGCACGTGTCGAGTCTGGAGGTGCCGAGCCTGGAGGTCCTTCGGGTGTTTTGTCCCGGCGGGAGCCACTCTCTCCATAGCAGCTACGCGAGTGGTTTGCTCGGCATTGGAGCCGTGCTGCTGGAGCTGGTGGTACTACCGGCGCTGGAGGTCCTGCTGCTGCTGGAGCTGCTAGAGAATCTGGAGCCACTAGTCCCGGAGGTGCTCGTACTGGAGGTATTGTTGCTGCTGGGCCTGGCGGTGCTCCTGGAGCTGGGGCTGCTGGAGGTGCTAGAGTTGGCGGTGTTGGTGGAGGTGCTCGAGCTGGTGGTGCTGCTGGAGGTGCTCGAGCAGGTGCTACTAAGGGTACAAGAGCTGGCGCTACTTGAGCTGCTGGGGCTTCTGGTGGTCCTGCTGGAGCTGGAGGTGCTGCTGGCGCCGGTGCTCCTGGGGGTGCTAGAGTTGGCGGTGCTGTAGGAGTTGGAGCTGACGCTGAGCGTGCTGGTTCTATCCCTGCTGGTTCTGGAGGAGCTGCGCGGCCGCGGCCGTACTTCGTTCCGCTCCTTCAGCAGGTTCCTGGTCTCCCGCCCTCTACTGGTCCTGCTCCTTCCTTAGAGTGTCCATCGCCTGTCTAGTCGCAGTCACAGCTACAGCCCGCCTCACACTGCCTGCTCCTACTCCCTACACTGGTCCGACCGGAGGTCTTGCTGAGCGTCGTGAGCCTGCGTCTCGTCTTGCGTTGCCTGTTCGTGCTGCTCGCACTGGTCGTTGTGGTTCGCGTCAGCGTCCTCCTTCTGTACCTGGCACGCATCAGATGGCTTTGCATCCTTCCACTGCTTCGCAGCGTGTCCCTCTACCGTCTCGTCCTGAATCCTCTATTCCTGCCCTTGCTGACCCGAAGTCGGACTCCCTTCGTGCTACTAGTCCTACTGTAACGCGTCTCCTTGCCACTGCTGTCATTGACATTTCCTTTGAGTCTACTACTGCGTCTGCTCTTGTTGCTGAGCTTGGCGACTTTGGTGCTCGCTGTCGTCTAGACTACGCTACTAGTCTTGTTGCTGAGTCTGAGTCTATCTGTACCCCGTCCATCAGGGGTGAGTGTGCCCTTGGCACGGACATCCTTGAGGACAGGTAGGAGAAGTTCCAGTGTTTTGCAGCTGCTTCACCTCATCTCGTGTCCATGCTGCTTGCCCCCGAGGGAGACCCAGATGCACAAAACATCACAACTCCGCGCTCTTACGCAGAGGCGGTTGAGGGTCCCTACTCCTCTTATTTGTAGATGGCCATGGACGCAGAGATGGCTTCCTGGAAGTCCACAGGCACTTACGTCGACAAGGTCCCCCCACCAGGGGCGAACATTGTCAATGGCATGTGGATTTTCAGGGTGAAGCGGCCGCCGGGTTCTCCGCCTGTCCTCAAGGCGTGTTACGT